TTGGACTGTCTTTAAGCAGGAGAAGGACAATGGGTGGCAGATACAGATTATTATTAGTATTATTTTTAAATATCAGCCCTTTATGTACCAGCAGTCATTTGGCAAGTTCAGCCTCACTTTGCTCAAGGCCAAATAATCCTAAGGCCTTAAACATTTTTTACATATCGGTACCATTTTCCCCTTTAGAGAGCAAAAACAAGAGGAAATGGGAAATTCCAAGACTTTTTTAGACAAGTGTCTAAACTGTGAGTTTAAACTAGGCACCCATTGTTCACAGAAAGTGAGTCCAACTATGTAAAATGACGAGGGTCATGGCAAGACAAGGGTACCAGCTCAGGTTAGACACAGGAAAGACCGAAAGTCATGGGCAAATTTTCAAATCTGAGACAGCTAGAGCTGGTTGAGAGGTGGAATTAATAAATTTAATTTCAAAAAATATCTTCTGATCTCCGTACACTGTGAGTACAGAAGAGCATATGCATAACTCAGTAGAAAGTATATATAACTGCAGAGGAATTCAGTTGCTGGATGTAACAAGTTCCTTACTAACATGTAAACATACAAGACTCACCAAGAAAATAGCTCTAATATGAGCTTCAACAAAATTTGTAACCTATGAGATTAACAAAAGGCTTAGGAGAGTGATGATAAAAAAAATTCAAGTCAGGGACACTCTTGATTCTTTAATGCAGTCTTACCACCAAATTTTGCAACTGTCTTATTGGTAGAGAATCTATTTTTTTAAAAAAAATTTGCAATTACAGTTGATGTTCAATGTTATATTAGTTTCAGGTGTACAGCATAGTGGTTAGACATTTATATACTTTGTGAAGTAATTCCCTCTGATAAGGTTAATGCCTGCCTGACAACACACGTAGTTATTACAAGATTATTGACTCTATTCTCTATGCTGTACTTTACAGCCCAGTGACTATTTTGTAATTGACAATTTGTACTTTTAATCCCTTCACCTTTTCACCCAGCCCTCTAACCCTCCTCCCATCTGGCAACCATTAGTTTCTTTTCTGTGTCTATGAGTTTCTCTCTCATTTGTTTATTTATTTATTTACTTACTTATTTAGATTCCACATATAAGTGAAATCATATGGTATTTGTATTTCTCTCTCTGACTTATTTCATTAGTATATTCTCTTCTCGATCCAACCATTTGAGCTAAGTATTATTCCATTTTATACTAGTATATGTACCACTTCTATATCCATCCATCTATTAATAGGCACTAGTGTTGCTTAGATATTTTGGCTATTGTAAATAATGCTTCAATGAACATAGGGATGAATATGTTTTTTCAAATTCATGTTTTGGATTTCTTCAGATAAACATCCAGAAGTATAATTGCTGGGTTATAAGGCAGTTTGATTTTTAATTTTCAAGGAACAGCCGAAACTGTTTTCCATAGAGGCTGCACCATTTGCAAATCCATCAACAATGCATGAGAGTTTCCTTTTATCCACATCTTCACCAGTACTTATTGTTTGTTGATTTATTGATAATAACTATTCTGATAGGTGTGCAGTGATTTCTTAATGTGATTTTAATGTACTTTTCTCTGATGATTATTGATATTGAGCATCTTTTCATATGTTTATTGACCATCTGTATGTCCTCTTTGAGGAATGTCTATTCAGTTCCTCTACCCATTTTTTAAATTGGATTGTTTATTAATTCATTAATTAATTCATTCATTTATTGCTTATATGTTATATGAGTTCTTTTTACATATTGAATATGAATTCCATCACTGGCAAATATTTGTATCACTGGCAAATATTTTCTTTCATTCAGTAAGTTGGCTTTTTATTTTGTTGATGGTTTCCTTTGCTGTGCAAAAACTTTTTAGTTTGATGTAGTCTCCTGTGTTTATTTTATTTTTATTTCCCTTGCCTGAGGAAACATATCCAAAAAAATATTACTGACAGCTATGTCAGAAAGTTTACTGTTCTCTTCTAAGGGTTTTATGGTTTGGGGTCATACATTTAAATATTTAATCCATTTTTAGTTTATCCTTGTAATGGTGTAAGAAAGTGGTCTAGCAGAATACAAAATAAATCTTCAGAAATTAGTTGAATATTTTTTGTTAATCCTCACCCCAGGATATCTTTCCATTGATTTCTAGAAAGAATAAAAGGGAGGGGGAGAAACAGAGAAAGTTTCTGTTTGCCTAATTGGTTGCCTGCCACACACATCTCAACCAGGGCTGGGGATTGAGCCTGCAATGGAGGTATGTGCCCTTGACCAGAATCGAACTCGGGGCCCTTCAGTCTGTGGGCTGACGCTCTATTCACTGAGCAAAACTGGCTAAGGCTGGTTGTATTTTTATACACCAATAACAATCAGAAAGAGAAATTAATAAAACAATCACTTTTCCAATTGCACCAAAAGAATTCCTAGGAATACATTTAACCAACAAAGTAAAAGACCTGTATTCAGAATATTATAAGACATTGAAGGAAGAAATTGAAGAAGATACAAACAAATGGAAGTATATACCATGCCCACAGATAAAAAGAATTAACCTTGTTAAAATCTATATTACCCAAAGCAATCTATAGATTCAATGCAATCTCTATCAAAATACCTATGGAATTTTTCACAGAACTAGAACAAATAATCTTAAAATTTACATGGAACCACAAAAGACCCTGCATAGCAAAGCAATATTGAGAAAGTAGAACAAAATTGGAGGTGTGACGTTACCTGACCTCAAGTTACACTACAAGGCCATAGTAATCAAAACATCATGGCACTGAAAACAAACACATCGATCAATGGAACAGAATAGAGAGCCCAGAAGAAAAAACACCACACACCTATATGGTCAATGAATCTATGACAAAGGATGCAAGAATATACAATTGGGTAAACACAGTCTTTTCAACAAATGGTGATGGGAAAACTGGACAGACACATACAAAAAATTAAAATAAGATCATTTTTTTTAAAAATTGCAAACATACCCAGAGTATAATAAGTTATATGTCAAACTACCTAAGATCCTAGGCAAGAGGTTTTCTGATGAAAGCACGGTGAAGGGCATTCTTGACCTCCTTGTTTCTCAGAGTATATACCACAGGGTTAAGGAGAGGAGTAAAAATGGTGTAGGTCACTGAGATCAGCTGATCCTGATCTTTGGTGTTCTCCGACTCAGGCTTGAGGTAGGCAATGGAGGCACAGCCATAGTGGACAATGACCACGATGAGGTGAGAGGCACACGTTGCAAAAGCCTTCTTTTGGCCCTCACTTGAGGCAATCTTGAGGATGGTGGAGATGATAAGGATGTAGGAGATGAAGACCAAACCCATGGGCACCACAATGACAAGGGAGCTGATGATAAAAGTGATTATGTCATGTAGATTGTTGTCAGCACAGGAGAGTTTCATAACTGGGCGGATGTCACAGAAATAATGGGCCACCTCTTTACCACAAAAGGGCTGACTGAACACAGAGGGAGTCTGAATGATGGCCACAAGCAGGCCAATGCTGCAGGCCCCCCAAACCAGCTGGGCACACACTTTCTTGTTCATGATGACTGTGTACCTCAAAGGTTTGCAGATGGCGACATAGCGGTCATACCCCATTGCAGTGAGGAGAAAGCAGTTGTTGATGGCCAAAGTGATAAAAAAGAACATCTGGGTGGCACAGCCAGCCAAGGAGATGGAGTGGCTTTGTCCTATGAGGCTGGAGAGCATTTGTGGTACAATGACCAATGTGTACATAGTTTCTGAAGTTGAAAGCATACTAAGAAAGAAGTACATGGGGGTGTGAAGGTGGCGATCAGTACTGATAATTGTCACAATGATGATATTGCCAGCCAGGGTTATAACGTACAAGGTGAGAAATATTGCAAATAGAGTAAGCTTGTGTTCATGAAAGCTGGAAAAACCCTGGAAAAAAAATTCACTCACCACTGTGTAGTTTTCTCTCTTCATTGATAAATTCCACGTCTGAAAGCTGGAGACTTAGGTCAATCAGTCAGAATACATCCGCGACCAATGGTTTGAGCAGGACAACTCTAGGAGGAGTAGATATTAAGAACCTGCTCCTGGATGGATGCCAGGGAAATGGAGACTACTGCTCACTAACAGGTAAAGATAGAAAAACACAATCAGGAAGCAATTCCGTGTATGCAGACTTATGCCTAACAGTAAAGAAGAATGCACAGAGTTGTGATAAGGTAGAAGGAAGGATGAGAACAAATTTCCTGATGAGTGAGAACACAGGTGTTAGGGGAAAACTGAGGCTAAAGGAATAGAAAATGCATAGTTTAAATTTTAAAAGCATTTTCTCCTGGATTACAGTTGGATGGTTTTGTTTACCTAAAACAAATTTGCCAATCTATTCTACTTTATTCAAAGCACTATTTTGATCTTAAACATCTTCCCTTCTAAATTGCCAAGTAACAGATAAGTGTTTGCTTTCTCCCTGTTCCACTTGTCTGCATCTTTCATAAACCATTTTCACAAATCATTCAATAGCCTCAAACCTGACTGCTCTCCCCATTTTGAAAAAAATTTTTTATTGCGTTTATTGAGGCAACATTGGTGAATACAATTATATAGGTTTCAGGTGTTCAATTCTATAGAATATCTCCTGTATATTGTATTGTGTATTTACCACCCATGTCAAGTCTCCTTCCATCTTCACTTTATCTCCCCTTTGCCCTCATTACCTCCTTCCAACCCCCTTTCACTCTGGTGATTTACCATACTGTTGTCTGTGTCTATGAGGGTGTGTGTGTGTGTGTGTGTGTGTGTGTGTGTGTGTGTGTGTGTTTTAATCTCTTGCATTGGTTTTTAATGAAGCATGCTTTTCTCTTTAGTCAATACTTTACTCCAGTCTCCTCTTGCACAGAAAGTCTTCTCAATCCTATCAATCCAAGCCCTTTTCCATTGCTTGTGTTGCTCTGTAACTAATTCTCATAAAATGTGTGTTATTTCTCTGTGTATTGTAGCTTGTGCTTGCATATGAATTTTTATAGGTAGTCTGACTCACTACTCTGAACTCTCTTTTCTAATTTCTTCAGCATTATAAACTGGGTATCTGGGGAAACCAGTTTGTACATCTGTCTTATTTTCTATTTGAGGAGTAATTGGGGATCACAGTGTTCTCATTTAAAAAATTAATAATGATAACAACAAAAATAATAGTCCCTTATTGCACTTTTTAGTTTATAAAGCATTTTTACATATATTACTTAACAGCATAACAATCCCGTGTGTTAGGTAATTATTATCTTCATCTTGCAGATGGAAAATCTAAGACACCTAGGATTAGGTGATTTGTCCAAAATTTAAAAAATCATAGATTCAATCTTTTAATTCTAAGGCCAATGTGAACAGATAAAAAAAGAAGGCTATTTTGGTCTCTATTAACAAGTATTAATACATTTGCCTTACTCTGGGAATGAGATTAAATTGAGGAATAAATTTGAAAAATTGAAAATCATTAGGAAACTGGAAGATTTTTAGGATTTTCTAGATAAGTAGGTAAAATATTAGTGTATTAATTATAACACATGCCCATTCTCCTTGGCTTAATATTTTCACTTCCAATTATTTATTTTAAAGAAATAATCAGAGATATGTATCAGGATGCATGTGTAAGAGGGTTTTATAATATCATCTATAATAATAAAAGTGTAATACGCTAATTAGACCAGACAGCTGAATGACCGGACATCCTTCCGGACAACCTTCTGGATGAAGCCAGGGCTGTGAGGGCTGAGCCCCTTGACAAATTTCATGCATCAGGCCTCTAGTTTATAATAATGAAAACCAAAAATAATGTAAATGAAAAAAAGGAATGATTAAATAATTTATATCAAATTCATTTAATGGGAACTATGCACCAACATACATAGTTACATAGACACATAGGTAGATACAAAGATACATAGACAGACCATAATTTTGTAAAAATAATACAAAGAAAAAAAAGGAAGAAAGAAATGAAGGTAATGCATTCAATAGAACACCTGCCATTTAAAAAGGTCTGGAAAGAAATATTTCAAAATGCTAAAAATAATTTTTCTAGGTAGTAAATGGAGAATCTTAAGCTATCTTTCTCTGAGTATAATACATATTTTCTTCTTAATTATTATCTTCTAAATACAGCTAAATTCTATAATTCTGTTCCAAAATGAAACTCTATTATGAGATTGCAGAGAGGAGTGACGAGAAAAAAGTGAAAGTAGGGGGTTAATTTATGGTCAACACAGGAAAGTTGACAGAACATTTTATAGCAATTTGAGCACCTCAGGACCACATCAGGAGGAAATGAACTTCAACTTTAAAGAAAGATTGTGGTTGGTAGAAAGAAAACCTTTCTGAACAGTGCTGGAACTACAGGGTGGTAAGTGAGGCACTGATCTTGGGTGCAAAATTTAAGGGAGCTCCAAAAAAGTCAGTAATCAAGATGAATACAATTTTAATACAATAGTTTTTAAACCTAATGCAAAAATCCATGAT